TAGTTTTCGTCTGTGGTCATAATGTGGAAGGATTCATGGTATTAAGATACTAAAACATGAAATTTTTTATGCATCAGGTTATAAAAAACGGGGAAATGCTTGGCGTTTCACATTTAAGAAACAGAAGAGTACTTTCTAGTGGTTTCACCATGCTTGGAAAAGAGAATTTGCAGGTTGGTGTTAAGCTTTAATGTCCATTATGAGAAGTTAATTGAGCAATTTCTAATAAATCTACTATTATATTACAGTTGAAGTTTAGTGATGGTGATAAAGCATTTGGTACTTCAAGCGAACTGTGTGTTGATGAGAGACTAAGAATCGCCTTAGACGGCATAATAGTGGTCAGGTAGATCTCGTAGATTCTTCAGTGACACATTTGACATGCATATTCTTAATATGGAAATTTCTATATGATAGCATCCTGATGTTCTTTTTTGTTTTTCTGGTCTTAAGCATGGAAATTTTACGCCCTCAAAACGTAAATGATTCGGCTGAAAATAGCATAAAAGGGAAGATAAAAATTACTACTCGATGTTTATGGCTGGACAAAGGAAAGCTTATTGATGCACTCTATAAAGCTGCCCACGCTGCACTGTCAAGCTGCCCCATAAATTGTCCTCTGGCTCACATGGAAAGAACAGTGTCTGAGGTATTGAGGAAATTGGTAAGAAAGTACAGTGGTAAAAGGCCAGACGTCATTGCCATTGCCATGGAGAACCCCGCAGTAGTTCTTGCTGATGAGGTCAGTGCAAGACTATCTGGAAAATCCCATGTTGGTTCTGAGATGTCACAGTTGAGGAAAGTATATGATCGACATCAAAATAAGGGTCTGTCAACTAGGACACAAGCAGATGACAGCAAGACACAAACATATTTTCAGAGTCAGTCAACTAGGGCACAAGCAGATGGAGACAAGGACAACACATTACAGAGCATCTCGCAACAAGATACGGAAGGTCCTTTACTCCCACTCTCTCTCTCTCTCTCTCTCTCTCTGCAGTCAGTAATTATACGCAACACTCCGCTGTAAAGTGTGTTTCTTAGCAGTAAGTGTGTTTCTTAGCAGTAACTGTCGATATTATCATATGGAAGAACTTGATCTCAGTTTTCCATTCATTATGTGTTGTAGAATTTTCTCTTTTCATAACTGTCATCTCTATGTCAATCTGATATAACTAAGTATTCTTTCCTGGAGTTGTGATTTACAGCATTGACGTTGAGTATGTTTTGTTCTTTCATCTCATCAGAGTCCGAACTAGAAGATGATGGCATTGAAGTCGAAGGACTCCTACCTGAGGAAGATTCTGCTACTTCAAGTTCCAAGTCAGAGAAGCTTTCTTCTGATTCAGAGGATTCGGAGGATTTTTGGAAATCATTGGTTAGGTTATCAACTGGTGACAAATCAGTACAAGATGAAAATGGTTTGGTTGCGGAACAGGAACATCCACAGAAAGATGGTCCTGAAGACAGTGAATTACCAAATTCTTCAAAGCCTGTGAAACGCAATAGATGGAAGCCTGAGGAAGTTAAGAAGCTTATTACAATGCGGGGGAAACTGCATGGCAGATTTCAAGTTGCGAAGGGGCGAATGGCCCTCTGGGAAGAGATATCTAGAAACTTGTTGGCTGATGGGATCAACCGAAGCCCAGGACAATGCAAATCTCTGTGGGCATCCCTGGTTCAGAAATATGAGGTTTGTCCACCTCCACCCTAATGCCGGCGTTCCTTCTTCCATTTGAGCTTGTTACTTTGGTTTATCATTGCGCTAATCAAACAATGTCTTCATGAACAGGAAAGCAAGAGCGGAAAAAGAAGTAGAAAGAGTTGGCCGTACTTCGAGGAAATGGATGGAGCTTTGTCTGATTCCGAGGAATTGGCAACAAAATGATTGCTAGAGGCGAAAAAAGTTCCACGAACTTCTGAAAACTCCCCAAGAAACAATACTTGATCCGATAAAGCTCGAGGAACAGCCAAATGAAAATTCACCAAGACTGAAGGTGTGGATGGTTGTCAGATCAAAGGGATTTGAAAATGAGAAACTGAAGTAGGTTCTTGTAGCATTTGTACCCCTTTAACCTCCATGTATATGATATATCAGTCAATCAAATGGATGAGCAAAGGGTCAGGGTGGGAATTTTGTAGTGGGAAGAAACCTTTGGTGCTATGGCTTGTGATACCTTATTTTTTTCAATATTTATATTCTTATTTTATGGAATAGTGATTAAATTGAGAAACTATCGTGATTAAATTGCAAATTTGAACTTAACCAGGTTAGTTAAGGTGATGGGTTTTTTCGTATGCACTTAAATTTGAATTTTCTTTTTGGATAGTTCAAATTCAAATGGATTTAATGTAAAATGTTGCTTTGTATCAAAGGATTAAATTTAATTGTCAAGTCAATGTTCATGCTTAGGTTCATGACTAATTAAATTAAAAACCTTAGTAAAAAAGATAATTGCTCATGATTCACAAGTCATCGAAGAAGGAGGGGGATTGTCTTCCCTCCTAATCTCTCTTCCGTTCCCTCCCTTCTTATTTGAATGGTTATTGTTAAGCTACATCAACATCTTATATTGATTTTTTTTACAAAGATAATAAGACAAAAAATAATGTGTGAGAGAAGAGGAGGGAAGAGAATATGAATAGAAAGGGATATAATCCTACTCCATCGGAGAATATATGCAGAATAATTTGAGTTTACATGGAGGATTGACTACACTAGTATTCTTTATAATACATCTGATCTGGATGGATGACAACTGAATTTTGTATTACAACGCGTGGAACATTGACCTTCATGAACTTTTGATTTTGTATTTTTTTTTTAATTTAGTTTTAAAATGCAGAAAACCAAAAGAACAATTTTGTACAAACTTCATTTGTAGTGTACTAATACAACACGTGCACAATCTTTTTTTTTTTTTTAACAAGTCATATTATTTACACAAGAGGGGGTGAGTTTAGTTTCATAATGGGTTAGCAATAATATGGTTCAAATTTGCACAAGAATCGAACTTAAGATCTCTCACTTACCAATAAAAAAAAAGGGCAGATTGATCCAGGTCCAAAAAATTCTTCTGTTTTCGGATTGGATCCAATTTTATTTGATTTTTTATTACACCTATTTTACCCCTTGAAAATAAAAAATATTTAAATTCTTTATTTTAAAATTTTGAATCTTCAAATACCTTTATCTATCCATTTTCTAATTAAAAACATTTTAAAAACACATTACAACCAATCTTATAAGTTTATCAAAAATTAAAAGAAACGTTGTCGAGGTAGATAAAAAATTTGTGATGTAGGTAGATAATATTAATTAATCTATGATATAGGTAGACTATGAATAAAAACCTATCGTATAGATAGATAACACAAAATAATATGTGATATAAATAGACTAATGGGCAAACACATATCGTATAGGTAGATAACACAATTAATTTGAGAAAGAAAAATTTGTGATATATAGGTAGATAAAATACAATTAATCTATAACACATGTAGAATAAACAAAATATACAAATAGATTCATTACAGAAATATATAATACAGGTAGATAAACAAAGCAATGCATTTCCTATAAAGGTTGAAAAGAAAAATATGTATAATCCAAGTTCAAACTAAAAATTAGGAAGAAATTACCAGTGCGCGCATGAAACTCATATTTTCATGGCAATGTTCCCAATCAAAATGACCTAACTAGTGCTATTGTGGGAGGACTTGGTGGGGATGACAAGTAGGAAGATGCAAGATTTGATGCTACAAAACCAAAACCAAAGAGGAAGAAATCATAAAAGCTTGAAAGAAGAAGATTGAACAAGAAGGAAGGGGATCGGAGAACACATCACAAATTGTATACGGGAGTTATGGAAGAAGATATATACTTTAAAACTAACTCTACAAATAGGGGATTATTTAAAGATAAATAATCAATTATAATTAATTTCATAATACAAGTAAATCTAGAATTAAAGGATAATGTTAATAGAGGGGTAATTTTGACAGAAAAAAAATGAAAATAAAATGACGTGGACAATGAGTCATTAGACTTAAATCAATAATTAAATAAAATTGGACTATATCTAGTAATTGCTTACAAATTTGGACTTATTTCAAGTTTCCTTTAAAAAAAAATACCATTATACCGTAATACTAAGTGACTAGTCTGTTATTATTTAATTAACTAGAGAAAGAAATTTTGAGTTTGCGAACACTCAAAAGTACCGTACCACCCCATGGGGGGCGGCTTATGCAGGTACCATCCGCCTCCATTTAGGGAGCAAGCACCTGGGTAGAGAAATTGGATTAGGGTTGGTGTGAGAAAGTGGGGTAGAGTTAGTATGATAAATCAAGGAACACGTGACCCGTGCGCCAGTGTAATCTCTAATACACGGAGATTCCATTTCCCTCTTTTTACAATATTCACTGATAATTTTTACTCACTGTTAGAATCAGACTAGTCACGTGATCAAAAATATTCTGCTGAAGTTTCCTCCCAAGCTAAGATCAATTGGTTATAATTTAGAGTAAACTGACATTTGACATCTTGAATTATTACTTCAGTTGAAATTGATCTCATGAACTATTACTTCAGTAAATTATCAATTTCAACTGTAATAATAGTTCAGGTGATCAAATTGCAATTTATCTTATAATTTACTACTACGAGTACATCTCATGCACCATATTGATACGTCATGTACGCGTGTGTACAACGCTGTGTTTTGCCAAAAAGTCAGAAGTTGGAATATGTTGACCATAAAAGAGTGTTCGTATGGTCTCTCTTTCTACGGCGTTGAACTTCTTCCGTCTTCTTCCTTGCGCAATATCTGCTTCTGCGTTCCTTCCCTTTAAGTATTTTTCCTCTTGACCTCACGCATGACTCTGTGAGCAGCCACGCTTTTCCCAGCTATTAGGGGTTTAGAAAACTCACAGCAACTTCTAACCATGATCATGGAACCTGGCAATAACTTGGTCCCAAAACTGTTATATATTTGCCTGTATCGCTGTGATAATATTAACCCATTGCAATCAAATTCATTTGGGTTTTTGCTAACTTTAAGTATATATAATTAATAGTTTTGCATCGTTGCAAGTGGCTTGCAGCTCAAGTAGTTCAAAGCGTTTATCCGAGTTCCTCTTCATTCTCTTCTGATTTCGCTTGTAAATGGGAAGTCACAAAGGATACGAACGTGTTTTCAGATACTTTGACGAAGATGGTGACGGAAAGGTTTCGCCTGCGGAGCTCAGGCGCCGGCTAGGGTTAATGGGTGGAGAGCTGCTGCAGAATGAGGCGGAGGCGGCGGTGGAAATGCTGGACTCGGACGGAGACGGGTTGCTGGGTTTGGAGGATCTTGTGGGCTTAATGGAAGGAGGGGAAGAGGAGGAGAAGGTGAAGGGTTTAAGGGAGGCTTTTGAGGTGTATGATGTGGAGGGGTGTGGGTTTATTACACCCAGCAGCTTAAAGAGAATGCTGAGCAAGTTGGGTGAGTCCAAGTCCGTTGATGAGTGCAAGGTGATGATCCAACGGTTTGATTTGAATGGAGATGGGGTGATTTGCTTTGAAGAGTTCAGAATCATGATGCAGTGACAGTATGTAGTTGCAGTGCTCTTGTGTGTATACATATAGTGTATCCATTTATTGATTTATTTTATTTTATTCATATTAAAGAGAGGGAGAATGATTCAAAATTATTACAATAATTTAGGGGCTGAGGAGAAATTCGAACCTAGATGCGTGGGTAGAAACTCAACACCCTATCTATTAGGGTATTAACGATATAATAATTAAATATTGCCAGCATACTAAAAATTAACTGGTTCTGCAGTTGGGATTTGAAAAATGATTATTTCAGCCAATTTCTCTTCATTATTTTTGTTTTTAATGTTCAATAATTTTTTGTTACCAAATGATTTCTTTTCTGTTATGAATAATTAGAGTCTGAAATATATTTGTGAACAAAATTATTTATTATGACATCAGCTTTTTACAAAAATTTACTGTAATAAGTTGACGTATCTTGTAATCCATTCTATTCTATTAAGAGAAGAGGGTTTGTCAACTTTTTGCCCCATTTTCTTCTAATTTTGCCCTCACTTTTTGTCACATCCCCGCCCGAGGCGGATCACTTCCTGGGCCCGCTCCACCACCGTAGCACGATATTGTCTGCTTTGGGCTTACCATTCCCTCACGGTTTTGTTTTTGGGAACTCACACGAGAACTTCCCGATGGGTCACCCATCCTGGGAATGCTCTCGCGCGCTACTCGCTTAACTTCGGAGTTCCCATGGAACCCGAAGCCAGTGATCTCCCAAAAGGCCTCGTGCTAGGTAGGGATGGGAATATACATTTAAGGATCACTTCCCTGGGCGATGTGGGATGTCACACTTTTGAAGACCCCCAATGTTGACATGTGGAGGGTAAAATAGTAATTTTGTATCTTTTGAACTGTTTCCCCTTGTTTCCTATTTTGCCCTCATTTTTTATACACAATATTTACATAAGAAGGGCAAAATAGTAATTTTATATCGAAATATTTACATAAGATAAAAAATATGCACTTATTAAGAGAAATTGTCCCACCATCATTTTTTCTTACATGTAAGTGAAATCATGATGTTTTTTGGATAGTTTGAATGAACTAAAGCGGTTGCGCTTGAGGAGAACATGAGAGGAGGTGGGTGGTTGTTCACACACATAGAGTATGTGCTCATCTGCTAGTGTCTTTTATGAATAGAGACTTCAATTTGGTACATAACCTTCAATTTTGTGAATGTGGAGAAGAATGAGTGGATTTGTTTTAAGAATCTGTTTTAATATTTGAGAAAATTATTATTAGCATTTCAAAATAATTAATTTGTACATCTCTCTTTATTATTTTAATGAGGGAAGAGTGGAGAATGATTTTCTTGGACGTCACCAATGAACAATCAAGTTTAGTAAACAAAAGTATACTCTGTAATCGAAATCCAAGTTCTTCTATCTAATTTTTGTATTGCATTCCAAACAAATTTTAGTTAATCCTTAACAAATTAACCTAAATTCATGTAACTTGAAAATCCATATATCATCGTCGAAACATATAGGATAAGTGAATTTTTCTATCATTTAGGAGAGGTTAGGTCTTTTTTCCTTTTTTTTTTTTTTTTTTGGTTGTCTAAGAGCATCTCCAATCATGTTCTCTATTTTATAGCATAGTTTTAGCTAAACCTATATAAAAAAGAATAATAATAATAATTTAGGAGCTCTCTAAAAAACTACATAAAAAATTGATTTAGGAGCTCTCAAAAAAAGTTATACTCTAACCATACTCCTACTTTAGGAGACATTTTTTTAGTGTGCTATGAACAAAGTTCGGTACACCAAGTTTCACAATGCAAATGGTTGAATGGTTGATTTTTTTTTTTTTTTCCAACTTGTGTTATGACACTTAGTGGACCGGGCTGTGTTCTCGGCGCACTAAAATTTTTTTTCTACTTTAGAGTCTATTATGTGTCAACAATTAGCCAATAGAAAGTAACTATTTATAAAATAATATTAAAAGAATTAATATTAATAATAGAGAGTCACTAGGAGCTCATTTCTATCTCTATATTTACTAGGGACTCCAACATGAATTTTTATCCACGGAGGTGAATAGATCATGACTAAAGTTGATTTTTTTTTTTTATCATCTCAAAATTGTAGTTAGGAGCTCATTTAGGAAGCCCAATGGAGATGCACCAATAAGGCTGGCAAACCTGTAAAACTGTACGCCAATTAAAAATATTTCACTATATTTTCTTTTCCACCTTCGGTCAAAAATATAAAAACTTGTAATATTTTGACAAACGATAGATAATTTATACTAAAGTTATAATATTTTGTTGATGAGAATGTGAGAAGCCTCTTGCAACAAACAACACTTCACAACTAATCGACTTGCAACAAAATTCTTTGGATTTGAAAAGTGAGAAAATACATCTACAAAACGGGTCAATGCCAAATGCTCAAATCTACAAAGCGGGTGGAAGGCTAAATGCCCAACTTCAGAAATCAATCACACTTTTCCTGTCCGGAGGAGCAACGCAGTCCCACAAGGAACGGTACGCCTCAATATTGGAAACATCAACACCGAGGGCGGCGAGGTTACGCCCATACTCCTGACAATCGTATACGTCGACATTAATCATCTTGTATTAAGTCAATAATTTGCTAGCCCGAAAATATATATATATGGACGATGTAGGCCAGTTCTTACCTGAATGTCAAGAAAAATTTGCATGCATATCTTGTCAGTGTCCGACACATTGTGATCCGAAACATCTGAACTTGCTCCACCTCGTCTTTGTGCACCTTGCCTTATTCTCTGGAGTGAAGTCTCCGTTTTCCTAGCCTGATCGTGATAAGAGTTTAGAATTCAACAAATATGAACTGCAGAAGGTTATATATTTCAAGGGCCATTTCAGCATCTGGACACTAACCACACTGACGACGTTGGCAGCTTGCTCATTATAACGACCAGTAATCTCGGTTGCAGCATTAAGCAGCACTTCGTTGATAGTGTCCCTTGTAAGATACTGTGTAGCTCGTTCTCCTTCCAAAAATGCCTGGAAGTAGTTGCTTGTTCAGTATATAATTTATAATTTGAAGTAAAATTTAGGGTGCACATTCCGAAGATCAAAAGATGCTGCATACTTTACGAATAAAAAGTCCGTCTAAAACAACGTAAACAACAGTTATGTTTCAGTTTTAACAAGCCCATTTAGCAGTTAGCACAAGGTAAAACTGTTCCACAGAGTATCGGACACTACTCCACCTCATCTGAAAGACCCAGTTTTGCAAGATGGGACCCTAGAATATCGGACCCTAGATTATTGCTACAACTAAAACTATCAACTGAAAACAGCAGGGAAGGCAAAATAAAAGTTAAAAACATTCACTTGTCTGGGAACGGGATGAGAATTTTAGCCATAAAGAAAGAAGGCTGCATACCCTCAGGGGACGCAATACTCCTGCCACATAGGGTGAATGTCTGACAGGAAGAGGCTTATTCGTCATCCTGTATGTTGCAGTTATTCCCTTTAGCTGTGCCAACTCCTACATTTTTTCAGGAAGGTAACATCAAAACGAATATAGACTTCACAAGAGGAAATGATACACTAAGAAAATACGCTAAAGACCCAAAACAGAGCGTTAGGAAATATTTCCCACATGATATTAAAAACCGTCACGCAGCTTCACATTTTTAAAGGTGAGTGCAAACCCAAGGGGGTCCTTTTTTTTTGCATTTCATGATTAGGCCAAAATATATTCTTAATCAATCAAAACCTACCGCAGCAGATTTTTCAACTAGTGCCTCTACAATTGTGTTGATAACTTGAGGCACTAAATCATTCAATGATTTTCCTCCCTGTAACAGGCTCTGTTTTACCAGATCAAGAACATCGGCAGGACAAGAAGAAAGAAGCTTAAGTACATGCCCAAGGAAGTCACCAATAACCACCTTGTACAGCTGGTCTGTGTCATGAATAATCTGCAAAGCCAATATGTATTAGTCTGGGTTAAGATTCATTTTTCTTTTTTTAAATTAACTGATGTATATTGGTGAGATGTGGCACGATCATATTATATTAGAGAATATGTGAAGTCTTTTATAAAGTCCAAGAAGACTTTTAGCCTTATTTTACCCTCTAGCTACGCATGGACTTACTACATTTTAGACGCTATATTTTAAATAAGACATGAAGCATACATATATAAAATCGTCAGGAACAGCTGAAATAGCCCATTCACAACCAGATTTGGAGCCGGTTTGACCCATCTTACGAGCAGCCAGTCCAGATGACAACCAACTTGAGTATCTATGATACAGTCACAATATGTCGTTAGTAATAAAACTGTGGTCTAGACTATAACATAGCATCTAATCCTCAAACTGACCTTGAAAGAAGCTGCAATGATAAGCGAAGAAACTTATCAGCACAAGAAAGAACAATGACATCTTCTCTCCAACAGGATTCCAAGCACTCCAACAAAGTGACACTTTGTTTTAACGTTAAATCTGGAGAATTTCCTTGACCAGATGGTACATTATGCATAGGGAGAAGACTTGTCTCCACAAGTATAGAATCTAGAGCCCCTGCAATTTCCTGAAACCTGAGGAAATCGTAGTAATACATTAAAAGAGCAGTCCACAGCATAAAAACTCTATTCATATTTGATAAATACAGCAACCACCAAAAGTTTTGCTGAGTACCTCAAAGAGAAATAAACCCCAAGGTTCCATTGCTTCATGAAGTCAATATAAACAGCTTCTGCTCGAAATTTGGAAACAGCTGATCTGGATGGACAATAGCCTTGCATGACAATACAATGTTATAACTATGATGAACGAAATATGCACTTATACCAAGACCAATAGACTATCACTCAGCATCAATTAAACTGTAGATAAGCCACGCGAAATTTTAGAACTTAAATGACATAATGGGGAATACTAATTTATACCTTCTAGATGAGCCAAGAACTTTAGGCTTGATTTGTAATTTTTCAAAAACTCTGTTGGTCTTCCAGGAGAAAAAGCACCGGGTTTCCCCTTTTGGATCGCTGAGAGAACCTCTTTGAGGATTGAATTTGCCAAGAAGTCAAAAACGTGCAAACCAGAATTCTCTGAAAATAGAAATCCATAAAACG